TAAGTCAGCCATCCCCACAGTGGGGTGTCATTAAGTCAGCCATCCCCAGAGTGGGGTCTGTAAGTCAGTCACCCCCTAGGGGCGTGCCTCTCCAGGCTGGTGGGCAGCTTCTACTGTGCTGCCTGCACTCCCCCCCCAGGTGGGGTAGCTGCCCGCTGTGTCACATGCTCGCCAAGGTCATTTGGGTAATGAACAAGGGCAGAGGCACTTCTGGAACCCGCCGTCTGCCTGTGACGGCCATGGCCCAGCAGCCGTGTGGGCTGCCCCGCTTCAGAGCCACCGCTGTGGACGATAAAGGTGGGAGGGACACAGCTCTGGCCACACACGCTTGGAGTCTGCACCCCGCACCCCACGTGTGTAGAGGAGCTGAGTCGTGGACTGGTCCCTGCTGGCAGCTGCCAGCCGAGGAGGTGGGCAGCCATCTGTCCACAGCAGTCTCTGCCCTGGTTGCCAGAGCCTGCCGCACACCCGTGACAGTGACTGTTCAGCACCGGCAGAGGCACAGAGAGGGCCAGATGTTCGGCCGGGCCCCACAGCTTCTGGGTAGCTGAGCCAAGGCTCCAGTCTAGGCCCACCATCTCCCCCCCCCCCGTGTCAGAGGCATCCCCTAATGCAGAGGGGCCTCCATGAGCCCCAACTTGTATTCTGGAGGCCCTGAGCGGGTCATGCTCTCCCCTCTTACCCTCATCCAGACAGCAAGGCGTTTGTGGCCATCGAACCGGCCTCGTGGGTTCACGATGTGTCTGGGAGACTTGGCCGGGGAACGGGTCGTTAGCAGCCGGAAGCTCACCTGATCGCTCTCTGTCTTTGCTGGCAAAATTAAGCCTGGATGGCATTCGCTGTCCTCCACAGCCCCCAGCGTAGGCACGAGGCTGCCAGAGCGAGGCGTCGTGGTTGAGCCGGGAGATGCTCACACTCCCTCTCTGCGGCGGCCAGAGACACGTCCTCACGGCCCAAAGGCAGCTTGACTTTAGTCTAATTTTCAAAGAATTCCCAGGATTGGTAACTCACAGCCTGGTTTGGAGAATCAAGAAGTGTCTCGAATAGCCATGGCAGAAATGTCTTTTGATCTGCACTGAGATAGCCAGATGGCGACTTTTCTCCTGGAAACAAGACCCGGTGTCCAGATTCCAGTGTCTCCCTTTTTTATCCTCCGTCACAGAGCTGCCAACCTTGAGGCAGGTCCTTGCCTTGAACTGACAGCAGCCATTCTAGGAAGGAAGTTTGATTTCAGGGAAACAAAGGAAGGGAACGAGGCTATATTTTATTAAATGCTGCTTGTTTTCAAGTGGGAGTGTTTTCTGGGTGTCTGGGGAACGGATGTTTGCTATGACTTAGTGAGAGAATCTGATCTTAAAAAGCAGAAAGTTTTCCAAATAAGGGGGAAACCATCACTTTTGGAGCTGAGGGCCAAGTTGTATCTCCAGGGAAGGAATTTCTGTCTGGAAGTTGATTTACAAGAATTTACCCAGTGCCCACTGGGCCGTGTCCCTCTAGATATGTGCGAGGTTTGCGAGGAGAATGAAAGCATCCTGATAGCTGGAGATGACACACACTGTTAGCGTGTTCGGATTTTACCACTGGCGAGGACTGTTGAAAACCTACTGTGTGCAAGTACAGATGAGGTACCGAGGATGTATACGGGGCTGTGTGGGACCCTGCCTTCCAGACGCTTCCATCTGAGAACAGGAGGTGGGGAGCGGGGTTGTGGGAGTGAGTCCATCGGTCTTCGAAAATGGAGGGCCAGGACGAACCATTCCTCCCTTACCACGAGCATCCTGACGCCCAACACATGAGTTGCTTAGTTTACCTGTGGGGAGGAGGGTGTCAGGGCAGGTAACCTGCCATCTGGGATGGTGAGTGGTGATGTTTCCTTGGGGCTAGAGGGGCAGTCCCATGACCAGTGACCCAAGATGCCAGTGGAAACACACTTGGTGCTTGAGTGGGCCTGAGGGGGCCTGGGGGGTGCGGTCAGGGCCGAGGACCCCAGCTCACAGCCCTCTACTCCAGTCCTGTTCCATACCTGAGCCTCACCTTGTGCTGATTATTGTCCTTGCTCCGTGTGACTCTTGCAAGAAAGCTCAGCTGGGGGTCAGTTGTTGCTAGTGACTACACTGCCATCCCTGGCCCAGCAGTATCCTCTGACCACTTTGGAATCTGAGCTTCCCCCATCTGGAGTGACAGATGCGTTGTGGGTGAAAGCGGAGGCACAGAGAAGGAGCCAGTGGGCCTGGGCAGGCTGGGAGGGTTTTTATAGCACATTTGTGTACCTGGAGGGTGAGGGGAACAGGCACCAGAATGACCCCGTGGGAGGGGGTACATTTACACCTCTTCTTTCACGGAGCCTGTTTCTCAGTCTTCTCTGTCTTTGGATTCGGTCTGCGATGTCAAAGGAAGAATATTCCAGAATCCTGGGTTCATCACACATTTAAAATGCTGTAAGAGTAATACATGAAAACCAGTCTCACCATTTTACAGATGAGAAAACTGAGGCACAAAGAGATTATGTCCCTGTACACGCAGCTCTCAGCCAGGTTCAGGGCCGGGATCTGAACCTAAGAGGCCAGACCCACGTCTCCAGCCTCAGCCTGGCTGTCTGTGGCTTCGTCTGTAACTTATCCGAGCAC